CCCCAAAACCCCAAAACCCCAAAACCCCTCTAATCCAAATTTTTTAGGCTTTGGAAATTTAAAAAGTTCGAAGATTGATCAATAACTTAAAAGATATTAGAGTTCAAAGTAGTATTAATTATGGAATCCATGCCTAGAAAAAAGAGAGATCCCAAATACTATAGGTGCTCTCTCTGCAATAGACTTGCTGCTAGAAAATTTAAACCGCTTGATATTCATGCAGCAGCTGAACAATAGAAATACTATAAAAATCTTCAGTAATATCAATAATCAAGAGATTTCAGAAGAATACATGAGCACATTGCTTAAACAGAGGAATTGCTTTGCCATAAATGTAAGAGGCCGTATTATGCTTAAAAGTATCTTGATACAAAGCAAATGTTTAGAAGATGTGAGGCATTGCTATTGACTATTTTGAAAATAATTAAAAATTACGGGAAGTATTATAAAGTTGAAGATGACAATGAGAATATGAAGTAAGTTAATTTGATAGAAAGTCATTATCTTCCAAAAGTAAAGGAAATCACTGCTTAGCCGTTCATTGAAGTCAAAGATTTTAAGGTGATAGTTGAGATTTATCTAGCATATCACAACGTCAGATTAGAGATATTGCGTCACATAATGCCAAAAGTAGAAGAAGATGATGCAAAGAATCCTAAGAAAATCGAATAGAAGGAAAAACAAAGGTTGATAGATGAGGATAGAAAAATGAGATACAAATTTTAATTCAAAATGGCAGATAGCACAAAGATGGCAAGAGTTGAAAAAAAGGCAGATAGTAGATTAGAAGTATATAGAAGATAATCATAAAAATTCATAATAAAGTACAGAGAGACTGTGGAGTTTAACAAGACTCAGTACTACCATAATATGCCTTAAGATTTCAAGAGAAAGGAAATGTTTTGTTTAAAATTAGGCTCCAAACTTGGCAATAGATTTTATGACTGGGATCCTGGTAACCCTTAATCTCGTTGGATAAAGCATTATAAAGAAAGTTAAAATTGCCCAATAGATGAGGTATTTCAGCTGTTAGTATTCAATGGTTATTTATATATGTTTACGAGGTACGGCATTATGATATATAGTGTATTTGATATGATTAACCCAGCAAAACTTATTAAATTTTAAGAAGTTGATAATAAAGATGGAACTAACCTCTATCATGATTATTTTGATAGAGCAGTAAAATGCCATTTGACTAAGCAGGTGATAGTGGTCTTTGAATAATGCATATGGCTTTTGGATGGTCTTAATTTTTCTGGACCTTTCTTTCATAAGATGACTATAAAGTTTTTTGATTTTAAGGTATGGATCATTAATAAGTCAACCTTCGTGATACTAGTTCATGCCTCAGGGAATGTATTGGAAATTACAGTATTTAAGATGAAAGATGGAAAGATTGTTAGCAGCAGTCCATTTACTACTGAAGAATTATAAAAGTTAAATTCAGTTCATCCTCACACAGGTGCATTAAGAGGCCAAGTAAAAGTGAATTACATAGGAAATAAGAAGTTTACCTTTCATTATAAAAAGAGGACTATCTATTTTAAATTCAATTTCAAGAATCACACATTCAAGGAATATCACAAATACTAGAATCACAATTAGCAGTGGAATGTACCGTTCATGGATTTGTTCCACTATTCAAATGAGGCTATTATTGACAACTGCATTTCACTAAACAGATGGAAATTGAAGATGAAAGATCGTAAGAAGCAAATGCTAAAGATTAGCACTCTCATTAATTTTGACCATAAACCGGCATCTTTACAATAGAAATATTGTCCACATTTGAAATATGAAAAGTACCCTTTAATCGGAGTTTGTGATACCTTCGAATATGTTGTTCATAACATGATGAACAATGAAATGGTTATGTTGATGGATAAAAGAGATGTTAGATGCACTCAGAGGAATAGACATAAGTGGCAAGCATTTAATAAGAATCTCCAGTTTTGCAGGATCAATCTAGGATCCAGTAATCGTAATTCTTCAAGAAACATGTATGCAATGGTTAGCTTGAGAAATCCAAATTAGGTCCTAATAATGTATTGAAAAGCATAGTAATTTAAATTGATGTGAAGGAGAATTTTCTTTAGAAATGCTTGATATTGATGAATTTAATTAAATATTATTTAACATCTATAATATACCATATAAAAACGCCAGGGGTTTTGGGGTTTTGGGGTTTTGGGG